GGGGGGGGCAGGACTGGGACCCCCAAAGGGACAGGATGGGGACCCCCGAGGGGACAAGATCTGGTCACCCGGGGGGGGTGGGACTGGGCCCCCCAAGGGGAAAGGATTGAGACCCCGAGAGGGGGAGAATCGAGATTGAACAGGACCGGGACCCCCAAAGGGAACGGAACCGGGACCCCCGGGGGATGGGACTGAGCCCCCCAAGGTCACAAGGCCAAGCCCCCGCGGGGGGGCCGCTCTGCCCCCCCAGCCCCTCCCCGCCTGGCCCCGGGCCAGAGTGTAACGTTACCTGCGACCTTCCCGGGGGGCACCGCCGGCACCGCCTGATCCCCCCCAAAAATGGAGGAGAAATCCCCCAAAATCCCAGGTAGGGGGTGGGATGGGCTGGGGGGACACCCCGGGGGCGGTGAGCGGTCAGTGACCGCGGGGACAGGGACAGGGACAGGGACAGAGGGCACGGCCATGGCGGCGGCACCGCAGGGGCTGGCACGGCCCCCCCGGCCAGAAATGGGGGGGTCCCTGAGCCCCCTGCCCGCTGAGACGGGGGGGGTGAGTGTGGGGGGGGGAATTTGGGGGTGGGGGGAACACACCTGTGCCCCTGAGGGGGGCAAATTCTGCCCCCCATGCACCCTACAGGTGTAGGGGGTTCCTCCCGTCCCCTGGGGGGTCCCACTCCTGTCCCTTTTGGGGTCCCTCTGGGGGTCCCATCCTGTCCCTTTGGGGGTCCCAGTCCCCCCTTGGGGATCAGGAGTCCCGTGGGGGTGGGAAACTCCGGGATGAGGAGGAAAAGAGGAACAAGGCTCCCCTCCAAAAAGGGGCACAAGGGACCCCCCTGAGCCCTGCTGGGCTGGGGGACCCTCAACCCTACAGTGTCCCCCCTCCCCCTGGGCTGGGGGGGCTCCCTGACCCCCCCCCGGGGTTGGGGAACCCCCTGTCCCCCTCCCCTTCCCCCAGGATTCCCCCCTGTGCATTAGGGGGGGGATTTGCCCCCCTGGGGGCAGGTTGTTCTCCCCCCCACTGGGGCACAGGAGGGATTTGGGGGTGCAGAACCGACTGGGGGAGGGGGTCACACCGCCGTGACCCCCCTCAAACGCTCCCCCCCCCCAGCCTGTGTCCCCCAGTTCACCAACTGCCCCACCATGGTGATCCTCGTGGGGTTGCCCGCCCGGGGCAAAACCTACATCTCCCGAAAACTCACCCGCTACCTCAACTGGATCGGGACCCCCACACGGGGTGAGTGTTTTTGGGGCGCTGGGGGGGGGTGCGGGGAAGGTTTGAGGACCCCCTAAAGCCCCCCCCCGACCCCTCCCGCAGTGTTCAACGTGGGGGAGTATCGCAGGGAGGCCGTGCCCAGGTACGAGAACTACGAGTTCTTCCGCCCGGACAACCCCGAGGGGATGGAAATCCGCAGGTCAGAGGGGGGGGTTTGGGGCGAGGGGGGTATTTTGGGGTGTATTTGGAGGGGGGGCACAGCTAAGAGGCCCCCCCGTCCCCAAATTCCCAGGCACTGCGCCCTGGCCGCCCTCAAGGACGTCCGGACCTACCTGAGCTCTGAGGGGGGGCAGGTGGCGGTAAGACCCCCCCCCCAGGGATACAACAACCCCCACAAGGGGTAAAAGAGCCCCCCCAAATTTTGGGGGGGGTCCAAACTGCCCCCCCAACCCCTCCCCAGGTGTTTGATGCCACCAACACGACGCGGGAGCGGCGGGATGTGATCCTGCAGTTCGCCAAGGAAAACGGGTACAAGGTGCAGCTGGGGGGGCACCAGGAATTTTGGGGGGTTACGGACTGAGGGGGGGTCTAGAGCACAGTTTGGGGGTGGTCCTGGTTTGGGGGTGTCCGCAGTACGTGGGGGGTGACACTGTTTTGGGGGTGTTGCAGTTTGGGGGGGCGGTGGCACCATTTTGGGGGTGTCACGGCACAGGGGGTGTCACATTATGGGGGGGTTGTCGCTGTTTTGGGGGTGTTCACCATATGGGGGGTTGGTGGCACTGATTTGGGGGGTGTCACAGCCTGAGGGGGGTGTTGGCACTGGTTTGGGGGTGTCACAATATGGGAAGGGCAGTGACACCACTCTGGGGGTGTCACAGCTGGGGGGAGCAGTGACAGCTTTTGGGTCTCACAGCACGGGGGGGGTTGGCACCAATTTGGGGGTGTTGCCGTTTTGGGGGTGTCAGAGCCTGAGGGGGGGTTTGGCACTGCTTTGGGGGTGTCACCACACGAGGGGGGCACCGTTGCCCCCTTTTCTCCCCCCCCAGGTCCTGTTTGTCGAGTCCATCTGTAACGACCCCGCCATCATCGAGGAGAACATCAAGGTGAGACCCCGGGGAGGGGGTGGGACAAGGAGGTGACACCCCGGGGGTCACACCCAGGACCCCGGGGGGGTGTCAGGCCGCGTGTGCCCCCCCAAAAAACCCGTTTTCCCCCCCAGCAAGTGAAGCTGAGCAGCCCCGACTACAAGGGCCGCGTGCAGGAGGAGGTGGTGGCCGATTTCCTGCAGCGCATCGAGTGCTACAAAACCACCTACGAGCCCCTGGACGACGAGCTGGACAGGTGGGACCACCCCCTGTGCCCCCCCCGGGCCGGGACACCCCCCCCCCCCCCCCCCCCCCGGGCCTCCCCCCCCCCCAGCGAGCTGTCCTACATCAAGATCTTCGACGTGGGCGTGCGGTACCTGGCGAACCGGGTGCAGGGCCACGTGCAGAGCAGGACCGTGTACTACCTGATGAACATCCACGTCACCCCCAGGGCCATCTACCTGAGCCGCCACGGGGAGAGCCAGCTCAACCTCAAGGGCAGGATCGGGGGGGACTCGGCCCTGTCCCCACGGGGCAGGCAGGTGGGGACAGAGGGGGCACAGACAGGTGGGGACCGAGGGGCTGGGGGGCACAGAACAGCTCAACCTGAGGAGCAGGATCAGGGGGGACTCGGCCCTGTCCCCATGGGGCAGAGAGGTGGGGATGGAGGGGCTGGGGGGCACAGACAGGTGGGGACAGGGGGGCGGGGGGGCACAGACAGGTGGGGACAGGGGGGGGGGGGGGCCGAGACCGCCTAACTTTGGGGGGGGGGGGGGGGGGCACTCAGGGCTGTCCCCATGGGGCAGGCAGGTGGGGACAGAGGGGCAGAGCCAGCTTAACCCACAGGGACACTCTGGAGGGGGACACCCAGGGCTGTGGGGACAGGGAGGGGTCAGAGCCACAAAAGGGCGGAGCTTCCAGAAGACCACACCTCGATGTGTAAATTAACATTCTGAAGCCACACCCACAGGGGGGTGGAGCTCCCAGAACCCCACACCTTCCACAGGTGTGGTTCAGGACACGCCCCATCCCTCTGGGGTGAGGGGGGTGCCCAGTGAGAGCCACCCCCCAAAATGCCCCCCATCCCTCTGGGGTGTGCTCAGAGGGCCCAGCGAGAGCCACGCCCCAAGGTGTGGGGACTGTCCCTCTCGGTGATCCCCCCCAAAAGGGGGACTGTCCCGTCCCCCCCAGTGTCCCCCAGCCTCAGCCCCGCCCCCTCCCAGTATGCCCAGGCGCTGGCCCAGTTCATCCGCAGCCAGAGCATCCGGGAGCTGAAGGTGTGGACGAGCCACATGCGACGCACCATCGAGACGGCCGAGGCGCTGGGGGTGCCCTACGAGCAGTGGAAGGCCCTCAACGAGATCGACGCCGTGAGCCACGCCCTGGTTTTGGGGAGGAAGGGGGGGGCACAGGGCACAGCCCGGCCCCCCCTGACCCCCCCATCCCGCAGGGGGTGTGCGAGGAGATGACCTACGAGGAGATCCAGGAGCGCTACCCCAAGGAGCTGGCGCTGCGCGACCAGGACAAGTATCGCTACCGTTACCCCAAGGGCGAGGTACCCCCATGCCCCCCGTGCCCCTGGGACCCCCGGGGGGGCCGCAGGGCCCCGGGGACCCCCCCCCTGACGCCCCCTCCGCAGTCGTACGAGGACCTGGTGCAGCGGCTGGAGCCCGTGATCATGGAGCTGGAGCGGCAGGAGAACGTCCTGGTGGTGTGTCACCAGGCCGTGATGCGGTGCCTGCTGGCCTATTTCCTGGACAAGAGCGCGAGTGAGGCCCTGGGGACACTCTGGGGACACTCTGGGGACACTGGGGACGCTCTGGGGACGCTCTGGGGACACCCCAGGCCTGCTGTCCCCCCACCTCATCTTATTCTCCCCCCCCCCGTGCGCTGCCCCACCTCAAGTGCCCCCTGCACACGGTGCTCAAGTTGACCCCCGTGGCTTATGGTGAGCAGGGGGGTGTCCCCCCAAAATGGGGAGTGTCACCCCCAAACGGGGACAATCCCCCCCAAAATAATGACTGTGTCTGTCCCCCAAGTGTCCCAACCCAAAATGGGGACAGTCCCCCTCAGAATGGGACTGTCCCTCCAATGTCCCCCCCCAAAATGGGGACCATGACCCCAAAAGGGAACTGTTCCCCTGGTACCTACCCCCAAAACAGGGACAATCCTCTCCCCAAAACTGAGACAGTGCCCCAGCAAAGGTGACTGTCCCCCCTGTGACCCTCCCCAAAATGGGGACCATCCCCCCTGGTGTCCCCCCCAGATGAGGGCTGTCCCTGCCCTGTGACCCTCCCCAAAATGGGGACCATCCCCCCTGGTGTTCCCCCCAGATGAGGGCTGTCCCTGCCCTGTGACCCTCCCCAGAACAGGGACAATCCCTCTCCCTCCCCAGGCTGTGAGGTCGAGTCCATCTTCCTCAACATCGAGGCCGTCAACACCCACCGGGAACGACCCCAGGTGAGAGCCCCCCCCCCAAAAGAGGGTGCACACCCCACTAACACCCCCCAGAGATTGGGGGGTGTTACATTTTGGGGACGTCCCCCCAAACCCCCATTTCCTCACCCCACAGAACGTCGACATCAACCGCACGGCGGCCGACGCCCTCAACACCGTCCCCGAGCACTTCTGAGGGTCCCTGGGGAAGGATGGGGGGTCCCCCAGGGCAAAGGGGGGTCCCCCCCAAAAAATAAACCTCGTAACACTGAGCCTGGACAGTGGGGGGGGGGGGCTGCACACCAAGGGGGAACCTTTATTTTGGGGGGGCCTTGGGGGCCGTGGCCTCGTTGTGTTGACTCGTCCAGAACTTGGGGCTCTTCCCCTGCACCTGGGTGGGAGTAAAACGGGGGGGTGGGGGGTCAAATGGAGCCCCCCAAAACCCAGAGAGCCCCCCCAGCAGGGCCTCACCTTCGCCACGAAGTTCAGGATGTCCTCCTTGGAGGTCTCCTCGGCCGCCCGGGGCCCCCACTGGAAGCTGAACTGAGGGGGGTCCACCAGGGGGATGGGGGTGATCTTCAGGTACCTGGAAGGGGGGGGAGGTTTTGGGGGGTCCCAGGGGGGTGTCCAGTGCTCCCCAGCCCCGTGACGGACCCCTCGAGCCACGGGGGGGCTTTGAGGGGTGCAGGGTTTGCTCTGCGGTGTGGTATAAACAGCCCGGCCGGGCTGGCGCCGGGGCTGCTCTGGGCACACCGGGGGGGCCCCCACCCCAAAACCCACCAGACCCCACCCCAAAACCCCCCCGGCCCCATCCCAAAACCCCCCAGACCCCACCCTGAACTCCCCCAGACCCCACCCCAAACTCCCCCAGACCCCACCCCAAAACCCCCCA